CTGCACTCTACACTACCCACAATACATCACTGCAGACTACACTACCCACAATACATCACTGCAGACTACACTACCCACAATACATCACTGTACACTACACTACCCACAATACATCACTGTACACTACACTACCCACAATACATCACTGCACACTACACTACCCACAATACATCACTGCACACTACACTACCCACAATACATCACTGCAGACTACACTACCCACAATGCCTCACTGCAGACTACACTACCCACAATACATCACTGTACACTACACTACCCACAATACATCACTGCAGACTACACTACCCACAATGCCTCACTGCAGACTACACTACCCACAATACATCACTGTACACTACACTACCCACAATACATCACTGCAGACTACACTACCCACAATGCCTCACTGCAGACTACACTACCCACAATACATCACTGTACACTACACTACCCACAATGCCTCACTGCAGACTGGGAATATCTTCAGGGAACTAAAGCTCTGATTGGACCATTCCTCTGTGATCTGTCCTCTGCAGGAAGTTCTCTTCAAAGCTCACTCTGCGGCGTCACCTGGGTGTCCACGGAGGAGAGAGACCATACACCTGTCCTCACTGCTCCTACAGCAGCAGGCTGAAGGCCTCACTACTGCAACACCTGAGGACTCACACAGGTACCACACCTGAGAGTGACAGGGACCACCTGAGAGTGACAGGGACCACCTGAGAGTGACAGGTAACAGGTGTCATCTGGTTTGGTTGTGTACAGGTGAGAAGCCGTACAGGTGCTCTGAGTGTCCGTATGCCTCCATCGATCGCAGCTCCTTGCTCAGACACTGCAGGACTCACAGTCAGGAAAAACCATACAGGTGTCACCTGTGTACCTACAGCAGGTAACAAACCTCATACACCTGGCTGTGCCTCTGACCTCTGAGTCTGTGCTGTGACTGGTCGGTGTCTCTTGTGTCTGCGCTGTGATTGGACGGTGTCTCTTGTGTCTCTGCTGTGATTGGACGGTGTCTCTTGTGTCTGTGCTGTGATTGGACGGTGTCTCTTGTGTCTCTGCTGTGATTGGACGGTGTCTCTTGTGTCTCTGCTGTGATTGGACGGTGTTTCTTGTGTCTGTGCTCTGATTGGACGGTGTCTCTTGTGTCTGTGCTCTGATTGGACGGTGTCTCTTGTGTCTGTGCTGTGATTGGACGGTGTCTCTTGTATCTGTGCTGTGATTGGACGGTGTCTCTTGTGCATCTGTTGTGTTTCTTTGACATTCTTACTAGTTGCAATGGAAACCTGTGCTTTTCTTTTGTTTCCAGCATCCAGAAGAAAAGTTTGGACCTCCACACTCGCCGTCATCACACTGGTGAAGCTTTTTTATGTCAACAATGCGAGTACTCGAGCCCAGACCGCCAGATGTTGGTGAAGCATATCCATAAACATCATGTCCCACCAGACCAACATCTAGGCTTAGTTAAACCAGACTAACATCTAGGCTTAGTTAAACCAGACTAACATCTAGGTTAGTTAAACCAGACCAACATCTAGGCTTAGTTAAACCAGACTAACATCTAGGCTTAGTTAAACCAGACTAACATCTAGGTTAGTTAAACCAGAGGCCTGTTGAACAAAAGTCAGATTAATAATCCAGGATCTGAGCTGTAAACTGAGCTTGAACTATCCTTCAACATGTAAACAGCTGTAATCTGTTGCTCTAACACCAAGCTGCGCTCAGTTAGGATGGTTCATTCAAACCAGCTGTAAATAATCTGGGATTAATGCACGTTCACAGTTTGTTTACTAGACCCACTGAGTGAATCACAGATTAACTGATCAGACACGTGAGTCTGACTTCCTCCAGCAATGTAAGGGTTAATTATGATTCATATGAAGACGTGAAGACAAACACCGACTGATGCTGAGATAATTTCAAAATAAAAACTTTTTGTGTCTGAATCTGTCTGTAAATTGTCTGAGATTAACTAAATTATCTGAGATTAACTAAATTATCTGAGATTAACTAAATTATCTGAGATTAACTAAATGAACAAATTAAAATGAACATCTGATGGCTCTGAAAATTATCAGAGTATTGAAAGGTCGAGGGAC